GACAGACAGACAGACAGACAGACAGACAGACAGACAGACAGACAGACAGACAGACAGACAGACAGACAGACAGACAGACAGACAGACAGACAGACAGACAGACAGACAGACAGACAGACAGACAGACATTTTTATATATATAGATTATTTTTTAGCTCGGACTGTCTTTGTGCTGGCGTGGAGTTTTTCGGTGCTCGCATTTGATAATTTTTGTGTCCCGGGCACGATCATTTGAATTGGAAAGGTTTGTGCTGATGTTTTCCCCCTGGTGCTTAGGTGCTTGGTGCGCTCTCGCTTCCCTTTGTTGCCGGTGTGACTCGACTGCACTGTTTTTGCGATGTGCATTGCTTTTGTGCACAGAGTGATTTGAAAAAGAAAAGTGATATCTAGTTATTGTGTGGTTGGAATTGCTGGAGGAGGAATTATTTAAAAAATAACTATAGGAAAATATGCATGCAAGCATCGGGAATGCGCTCCCGGATGTATTGATTTGGCGAGTACGTTCCAGTTGCAGATTGTTCTTATACATTTCTCGATTGCATTTTCGAGGGGACGTGTGGGCAGTGCGTTTGATGGTCGGTTTGGTGTGGCTGGTTGCTCGAAGGGCGTACTGCTGCCACTAAAAGGTAGGGCAGGTCCTCTTTCTGATGGTAGGCATGCGTGGGTGGGATGCCGGTTGTGCTTAATTGTGGATCTTATGCATTGTTTACGGGAGCGGATGCGTTCCATCGAGGGAGTAATCGAGATTTATTTTCTATTTTTTTATGATGCGTTTATTTTTCCAGGCTCATTTTCTGTAGCTTTGCGGAGCCGATATTCATTGTTTAGATTACAAAATTACTTAAAACTTAAGTTAGTAAAGCGGGGGCCGATTACTCGCGGCTATCTCGAGGTTTAGGGGTAACAAATTGTAACAAATGGATGGCAGGGTAGGGATTGTGAACACAAGGTTTGGAGAGCAATGTGCTCTTGATCTCGAACTAAGCGACACTCTGATGAAAAAACAAACATGGGGGTTCACCGATGGGCAGCTGATAACTTGGGAGAACACAAGATGACACTAACTACAAAATCCTCAGATCTATCCGTTTTAAAAACACATAAATTAAATTCAAATAGTCAAGATCTCGGCTTACCAAGACATCTCTAACGGGTATCGAGGGTTGTTTTCCTCGGGCCCTGAGGTATGTGCATAACTGGTAACACGGTGTAAGGTACATGATCAAACAACATGCTCGATATCGTGATAACCACTGCCACACGCACATAAATTGCTGCCTGAGAGCCCAATTCGCAAAAAGTGCGAGTCTAACGAGTAGTGATTGGACATAAGCCTTGATATAACGCGTATAAAGTCGCGGCTCATGTCCAACCCTTTGAACCATGGTTTCGTTCGACACCTGTTGGAGAATAGAATGTAACCATCTTCCCAATTCACCATCATTCCATTTCTGTTGCCAACCGATGAGGACTTGGATGACGAGCAAAGGAGAAAAATTCGTTGAAGGCGATTTGTCGCTCAAAAATATCGCCTTCCATAGCGCCCACCTTAGCCAACGAGTCCGCTTTCTCATTACCCGGAATTGAGCAATGAGATGGGACCCAAGTTAAGGTGATAGTATAGGAGCAGTTGGATAAAGCACTCAGTTTAGATCGTATTTCAGGCAGGAAATACGAGGAGTGCTTCATCGGCCTCATTGAACGAATAGCCTCCAATGAGCTAAGACTATCCGTAAAAATGAAATAATGGTCAGAAGGTAGTGATGCAATTCGCTCTACTGCGTGATATATGGCTGCGAGTTCCGTATACGGAGCATGGTTTTTGCAGTTTATAGGAGGCGCTATAAAATTGATGAAATACACCAAATCCAGTGGAAGCATTTATGGTTGACCCATCTGTGAAAAAATCGTTACTTACATGGTGGTACTTGATTGCAAAAATTGAGGGAACAACCATCGACCGATGGTGATCTGATCATGGATTTCTTGCATCATGGTCAGATCAAAATTTACAGAGGAACTATAAAAGGCTTGAAAGCAATCACGATTGGAGATTAATTAAGGAGGAGCGTCATGTACTCATAGTACAAACTCATGAATTTTGTTTGAGGATTTCTGTCGAGTAGTTTTCTATTACCAATGGGTTCATTACTTCACAATGGATAAGAAAGATATTTATTTTCATCATTTCCCATTTCCCAGAGGGATGACCTCGATCGCGTGAGGTTCCTGGGTTTTTACGGTTAGGGGCCTAAGAATAATGTATTATGACTTTTTTCATGTTGAAGCATGATGGACACTTGACACTTGACAGATTAGTTTTCGATGGGTGTTTTTTAACACGATCATGAGGGCCGTGGTTGAAGACTGACGGTAGTCACGGCGGGTCGTGTTTGATTGTGTGGTTTTGATGCGGTAGATGGACGCATAATCGGGGCGGTCAGGTGAAATATGAAGGAGATATCAGTCGTTTTAAAACGCAATAGAGTTCGGTCGAGATAGCTTAAAAGATGTGCAACATTTGTACGCTGTTAAAATCGTGGGGTCAATCGTAGTTTACGTTGTGAAGTAAGGGGCACGGTTGCCCAAAAATGTGAAATTTTTATGGAATCTGTTCCCGTCTTACGTAAGGACCAAATCGAAACAACGAACGTCGAAAAAGAAGAATTTAATGAAGGCATAAGTGCTTTTTCGTAGATTTTTAGTCTCCAGTTTTTTTCTTTTGTTCGGGACTTAACACCACTGCCACCAGTAATTTTATCAATTGTAGTATATCCCGTGTTCTTAGTTTAGTGCATGCCGTATTACTCCATCACTATTGAGAAATGATGAACTATTCGATTTTTTTTTACAGTTGTCATTCTTGCATTTATCGCAAGGATCCTACTCTAATTAAAAGGTCCCGCTATTTATACCCTTCGGAGTGTTGGAACACCCTCCAAAGGCGCCCCCTTTGTCAGTCAAAATTGGATTCCTTAGCAACAAAATTAAAGAATGACACTGATAATGACCATGCATCAGAATTATAGTCTTAACCACTTCAAACTAGGGAACAACGAATAGAAGTTTAGGAATCACATAGATGAAGACTAACTAACTCATGTTTTCCTTGTTTCAAGATCATCCTCGGTGGACAAAGCCGAGTCTTGTCACTATCAACAAGGTATAAACAGTAAAAAGGTCTAAGATTTGTTCCTTTGATTACTGAAAAATCCAGTCCCCTAGTTTGAAGTAGTCCGGACTAGGAATCGGTGGTAGATCTTACATCACGTAACGTACCATGAAAAGGTGATCTACCCACGTTACGGTATTGTCTCTAGGTTTAAAAGATCATCGGTCGTAGAGGGCATAAAGGGCACCGCCGTCCAGTTTGAGTTGGAATAAACCCCTGGTCCTATCATATTAAGGAGACTTATAGTAATGTGTTTTGTGAACCTTAACATCGTCATCAACGTCACCGCCGGTTTTGAATGGTTCAATAACAACGCGATCGTAGCTTGTATGATGTGATATGAGGGGCTTGGTGGCCTTAGAGTGACCATTTTTGCTTACTGAGTAGAACATCATGAGTTTAATCTCAAGCCCCTCCACATTCAAGATTCGTTAATCGCTTTATTGGTTAATGTGAATACATTGAAATAACAACAAATCGATCATTGATGTGTTGTAATAAAACGAGCTCGTTTGCCTAGTGGCAAACGGTTTTGCTTACTGAGCAGAAGACCGTGGGTTCAATATCAAGCTCCTTTCCGTTATAGGATCGTTAGGATATCAATTCAGCTTATCGTTTACCAAAATGAACCCTGCTGCAAACCCAACCCTAGTATCCAACATCCCAGTGATTTCTCGTGGAAGTGCAGAGCATTTATCGGCTTTCAAGCAAATTGCAAATTATACCATTCGCAGCCGTATTCTCTGGGGAGGATGATAGGAAAAGCAACTAACATTCAATGTCATACATTTTTAGATTGCGTGATTTTTAACGTGATCTTTGCGACAGCCCATCTATTACACCCGTAGATGATCTAAACTAATCCTCCTGTACCACAATCCCCTTGGAAACTGGTGATAATCGCGTCCCGTAAAAAGTCTTCATTCGGGTTATTACACCCCAACTGGAGCTTACCACCTTCCCTCCAAATTTCGAATTGATACGTTTCCAAGCCTATACAACATTCTTTCAACTCGTATGTTGTGTGACAATGGAACAATTCCCTACGCCCTGCGAGGAAATGTTCCTTCTCGAAAATATCCTGGACCGAGAATCGAACCCACCGTCTCCTGCATGACACGCACGTCATTACTGGCTAGGCTAATCAGAGATCTGATCGCTTCTTCCCGTAGAGTGACGAGCGAAGAATGGGTGAGATAAATGACAAAATCGCTTATTGCGACTTTCATGTAGCAAAATAGGCAGGTATTTGTGTGAGGCCTCCCTTAGCTCAGCCGGTAAAGGCGCAGCTACAAAGCAAGACCATGCTGGTGGAGGGAGGTGGCTGGGTTCGATTCCCGGTTCGGTCTATAAAAAATTTTCGGGTTGGAAAATTTCTCGACTTCCCTGGGCATAGAAGTATGATTGGACTTGTCACACAATTATACCAATGCAAAAATGGTACAGGTATCGAAAGCTCTCAATTAATAACTGTGGAAGTGCATCTAGAACACTAAGTTGAGAGTACGCAATAAGCTAATATGCGATACGCAATAAGCTTGAAATGCGAAGAAGAAGAAGAAGAAGTTGTGTGTCAAATACAAACTTCACAATATTTTCTTGTTGCATCCACAAACAAAATATTATCATAATATCTTATAATTCAATAATTTCATAAACCATTTTTTGCCAAAATGAATGCAAGGCACCCTGTAGGAGACCTCATTAAATATTCACCTAGAATATTGAAGCAATCGAAACAGATGTGTAAACTCTAGCCCGTTCAAAGTGAAGCAATATAAAAGCTCCGAATGTATCATTCAGAATTCATTGAGTGAATTACCATCACAATGGAGAAATTGCACATCCTAACGGTACTCGTGATCGCATCTGCATCCACAGCTCTTGCCCTGGACTGGTACGGTCTAACACAGGCCAACTATGCAGCCATCCAGACGGGACTTGCACAACTGAACGATGCAGCTACGCGGATGAACCAATCCATCATCGACCAACAGAACCGCATCCAAGCAGCCCTGGATGGTGTAGATGATTTTGTACGGCAGTCCGTGTTCGGATTGATGTTCCAGTATCAAAACTTGAACATAACTATGGACCAAATCACCAACATCGGGGGCAAAATTCATAAGGCAGGCGACTACAAATGGTACGTGTCGTACATCGCAGATGACTACAAGCGCAGTGTCACATCCAATGTGATGATTCCGGCTCAATCGATCGTGCAGAACATTTTGAATGCCATGACGACCTTCTACTCTCAACAATCGCAAAGTTGCGCTCAGCAGTATGCCCCACAATTGGTACAGGCTCGGCTCTCTGTTGGTCGGCTGCAGCAGTGCATCCTGATGGCTACCCCGTACTTTGAGTTAGTGGCCAACACCACCACGGTAATGTTCGGCAGCGGCATAAGCGGCGCAAAAACCATACTCAAGTATTTGGATTTATGCTCACCCAATTCGACCACCTGTGTGACGAAGGTTAGTTCATAGGTTTGGTCGGTACGGAATATTGGTAAATAATCACTTCGCAATTCATGTTTCAGTTCTTCAACGATGTGCCGAACCTGATGAATAATTTGATTATATCCTTAATGAATCTACAAGGAATCCCCGAATCAATTATGAGCCCGGGAGTACCGGCCGTTAAGGAATGCGTTGATTTGATATCGGTGGATATAAAGCAAGTACTGCAAGGGCTTGTTAACAAAACGAATTCCTGCTAAGGTACAATCACTGATGTAGACTTGTGAATGAAAATGGTGAGCACATTCATAAATTCGGCATGATTTAAATGATTAAAAAAATAAACGGTATACATGCAATTTAGTTAACTTGTTTTATAACTTTCCGTTTCTAGTCGGAGATGCTTAATGTAAATATCGGACTCAAAGTGAACATTTTATACGATAGTTGAAGATAAGAAAATATTGAACTGATAGTTCCGTTATAGTACGACAGTGTGAAAATTGAATGTTTAGAGAAGACTAGACAGATTTGATCCCTGTAGAGACTTGATCCCCCAAAACGTATTTTTTCAGACAAGTTACCACAATCGTTCATCTAGCCGGATGGTAAAATTTTAATAACATTTGAATTAATTTGTTATGTTGTTATGTTGATATGTTGGGAGCAGTTGCTAGTTTTTCACCATCTCGAACTTTTTTTTAGCCTTTGTGAAAATGTTTAAAAACTTTTGATCTTTTCAACCAAATTGTACCACATGTGCTTGTACTACAACCACTCTGTATCAGTCGACGTGCTCGTTTGTGTTTTATATCTGACTATTTCCAAACCAATCGCACATGGACAAAAAATGCTACCCATATTTGATTTCAGATTACTGAAAATCGCTAAAACGTAGGTCACTCATAGTTTGAGTAATTTTTCCGACACTTTCCTGGCGAAAACTTCTCGGATATGGGAAAAATCAAGAAAATTGTACACAGGTTAGAAGTGTACTAGAAGACAGATTAAAACCACAATCTGTTTTCCTCATATTCGAGAAGTTTTCCTCGGAAAAGCGTCGGAAAATTTACTCAATCTATGAGTGACCTACGATTTCGCGAATTTGAGTAACATGAACTCTCATGCTTCGTTAGTGTGGTGGCCAAAATCAAAAGAGGCTACTGCACAGAGGAAACTAGCAAAACTTCAACGTCTAGCATGCATTGCAATAACGGGTGCGGTGCGCAGCACCCCATCAAAAGCAATAGAAGCAATCCTACAGTCCGCATCGTGCTCTCTTGCCGTGCGGATCTATTTGCTTTTTGCTGAAGGAAGTGTTACTACTACCTAAAGCTACAACAAATTTAAACAGCACTTTTTAGTGCTCAACCTGTAAAAATTTTCTACCTTGTTCAACTCTTATTCCTCTTCGATCCTTGTTTGGACCCTACCCGAGGTAATCCTTCTTGGATATCGATTTGGAAAATTCCTCTTCGATCCTTCAGATTCTTATAGTAATCTGCTTGGAAGTCGATTTGGATAAAAATTTACTGCCGCCATGGCGCCTAAACGCAAAAGAAAGGGGCAAACTCTTGACCCTCCTTCTGATGAAATTAATTTGAGTAATCAATTTGATTTGCTCACGGATGATGAGAATGATCCATCATCCAAGAAAAATTCTAGTAAACTTTCCCGGCTTAATGCCAAGAAGGAAAAGATTCCCCCTATTGTGATAACCACTACCGATTTCCATGCTCTTCGCATGGAACTTTTGAATTTCGTGAAAGTTAAGTTTTCACTACAAATTGGACGTCGGGGTGAATGCCGTGTATTGGCTGAAACCTTGGACGGATTTAAATGTCTTCTCAAGTATCTTACTGAGAAGAAGCACAAATTTTTTACATACGACACCAAAACTGAACGTGTGTTCAAGGTTGTCATGAAAGGACTGCCCAGTGGTGAATCCCTGGATCAGATCAAAGATGAACTGGCAAAATTACTTGGAGTTGTGCCACTCCAAGTAATCAAAATGAAAATGAAATCCCGTCCTGGCGATTCGCGCAACGGGATTTCTAATGATTTTTATTTAGTTCACTTCAAGTCTAGTGAACTAAACAACCTTAAGGCCTTAGAAAAAGCTAGCCTTATGCTCCATGTCCGAGTGAAGTGGGAACACTTCAGGAAGACTGGAGGAAATTTCCAAAACCTCACCCAGTGCCGTAAGTGCCAGGGATGGGGTCACGGAACTAAAAATTGCTACATGCCAGCTAAATGCATGAATTGTGGTGATTCCTCTCACGCAAAGGACGACTGTCCTGTGAAGGAAGATCCTAAGAAATTTAAATGTTCAAATTGTGGTGAAAACCACAAATCCAATTTTTGGGAATGTAAGACTCGCAAAGCGATCCTACAATCTCGTTCTAACCGTCAGGTAGGAAACGCTCCACGTTTCCGACCAGGTACAAATTCCTCTGCTGTTAACAACGGTCAGCGAGGAACAAATTCTACATTCGTACCCGTAGGTACAAATATCTCCCCTGCTTCAAATGTTTCATCTGTACCTACTCCCCTCGCTGCTAACAATGTTCAGCGAGTTAATGGAGCTACCTATGCTGCTATTGCAGCGGGTAGAAATCAAAATACTAACCAACGTTCTAACGGAAATTTTGACAATTTTGACTTACGAAGCATTACTGCCCCCAAAATGGAATTTTTACAGAATTCATTAATTGACATGATTTCTGATATGCTTAAATCTAACTCCATGTTTGATGCTATTCAAACTGGAGTAAAATTTGCAAATAATATTGTCATGACTTTAAAATTCAGTAATGGATTTTAAAGCATTAAATATTGTAAATTGGAATGCTCGATCTCTTAAAGATAATGAAGACGAGCTATTTAACTTTTTGAGAGTTCATAACGTGCATATTGCCGTTATAACTGAAACGTTCCTTAAACCTGACCATAAGGTTAAGAAGGACGCAAATTACTTGATTTATAGAAATGATCGTCTTGATGGACCCTGTGGTGGCGTTGCCATCATTATTCATAGACGAATCAAACATAAAATTCTTTCTTCATTTGAAACCAAAGTTTTTGAAACTTTGGGAGTTTCTGTTGAAACAAAATTTGGACAACTTACGTTTATAGCTGCCTATTTGCCATTCCAATGCGTAGGCCAGAAAAAGAATTTTCTCAAGGGTGACCTCCAGAAACTTACCCGTCATAGGTCTAAATTCTTCATTATTGGTGATTTTAATGCAAAACACCGCTCATGGAATAATGCTCAAAGCAATTCCAATGGTAATATTCTGTTTGATGATTGTTCTGCAGGTTATTACACTATTCAATATCCAAACAGCCCAACATGCTTTTCTTCTGCAAGAAATCCCTCCACTATTGATTTGGTCTTAACTGATTCATGTCAACTTTGTAGCCAATTGGTTACCCATGCTGACTTCGGTTCTGATCACCTTCCAGTAACCTTTGAAATATCCCAAGAAATAATTTGTAATCCCAACAGCTCTACTTTCAATTACCATAGAGCTGATTGGGAGCAGTATCGAACATTTATGGAATATAACTTCGATCCAAACATTCCTTTGCAAACCAAAGATGAAATTAATTATGCTCTTGAATCTCTGACTACTTCTATAGTTGAAGCAAGAGCTGCCTCAGTACCAAAATGCGAGGTTAAATTCGATTCAATTATAATAGACGATGATCTTCAGCTCTTGATCCGTCTTAAAAATGTCCGTAGGAGACAATATCAAAGAACACGCGATCCTGCCATGAAAGTTATCTGGCGGGATTTGCAAAAACAAATTAAAAAGCGATTCTCTGCCCTGAGGAACAAAACTTTTGAAAATAATATTTCTAAATTAGACCCGAGTTCCAAACCCTTTTGGAAACTCACAAAAATTTTGAAAAAACCTCAAAAGCCTATTCCAGCGCTTAAAGAAGGTGGTAAAATTTTGATCACAAATTTGGAAAAAGCTCAGAAACTTGCTAAGCAATTCGAGAGTTCCCATAATTTCAGTTTGGGTCTTACTAGTCCTATTGAGAATCAGGTTGCTCGGGATTTTCTGAATATTTTCTCTCGGGAAAATATTTTTGATGATTCCTGGGGGACTGATTTGGACGAAGTAAGGTCTATAACTAAACAATTTCAAAATATGAAAGCTCCAGGTGATGATGGAATTTTCTATATCCTCATCAAAAAACTCCCAGAGAGTACCTTGTCTTTCTTGGTTAAATTATTTAACAGATTCAAAGTGTTTTTTATGTTACTTCATACGCGAAGTTAACGATTTTCAGAGTTGGTTGGAAATGCTAACATGAAGCTTTAGTGTGATGATTTATTAGCTAGAGAATGATCTTTAGAAGAATGTAGGTGGATAGTTCCGTTAGAGTACGGCAGTATGAAAATTGAATAGAAGTTGAAAATGAGCGAAGGGCCATTAAAGCGACAGTTTTCAAGATGACGCACATTTTTGCCTAGCCCGTACGATGTACGCGGGGACTTGAAGTATGTCTCCAAGTCCACAGGCGAAAATGTGCGTCCCTCTTGTTGCTCATAAACTGACTGCGGCTGTGGAATAGTTCTAGCGACGTTTTCATCACTACCTAAAGCCCCACGTCGCGAGAGCATTTCCAGTCGATGGTGTGTTATAATGCAGTTCTTCTTTACCCAACTATTGTGTTGCTCTTCTCGTCATGACCAACGTGATCATCTCAGAGAGAAAGCAGTAGGGTGGTTGTTGCGTGCTGTACCATCATCAGCATTGTTGACGGCTACTCCCGCCTTGAGTTGTTACATTCAAAGTGTTATAACACACCATCGACTGGAAATGCTCTCGCGACGTGGGGCTTTAGGTAGTGATGAAAACGTCGCTAGAACTATTCCACAGCCGCAGTCAGTTTATGAGCAACAAGAGGGACGCACATTTTTGCCTGTGGACTTGGAGACATACTTCAAGTCCCCGCGTACATCGTACGGGCTAGGCAAAAATGTGCGTCATCTTGAAAATTGTCGCTTTAATGGCCCTTCGCTCATTTTCAACTTCTATTCAATTTTCATACTGCCGTACTCTAACGGAACTATCCACCTACATTCTTCTAAAGATCATTCTCTAGCTAATAAATCATCACACTAAAGCTTCATGTTAGCATTTCCAACCAACTCTATTTAACAGATGTTTCCATTTGGCATATTTTCCTGATAAATGGAAAAATGCAAAAGTTGTTCCAATTTTGAAGCCGGATAAAAATCCAGCTGAAGCTTCTAGCTACCGTCCAATAAGTTTGCTTTCTTCAATAGGTAAACTTTTTGAAAAGATAATTTTGAATAGAATGATGCTTCACATCAATACGAACTCAATTTTTGCAGATGAGCAGTTTGGATTTCGCCATGGGCATTCAACTACTCATCAACTCTTAAGAGT